AGGAGGAGGAGGAGGAGGAGGAGGAGCGGCCTCAGGTGCAAGCAATCATTTCAAGGGGGAAGGAGAGCGATAGCGACAGAAGCTGTAGCCGCACCACAGTAACTAGGACTCCCCTGTCAAGCAGTTCATCCAAAAAAAAGGATGCGTGTAGGTGAGAAAGCTTGCTCTATTGCTTTAACAAAGAATTAAGAGAAAGTAGTAATTTTATACGTGCTTGTTGCTTATAGATGAAGGGAGTGAATAGCCGGAAATATTCTGGGATGTTATAAAATCAAAAGGACTTTCTGTACAGCGTGGCGATGCACGACAGGAAATTAACTCCAAAAAGAATGCTTTCTCTTGAACTGCTGCAACAGAATTGAAATTGTTCCTTTTTCTAGTATCTGCGATTCCTCCTGAAGACACAGCAAGGACGCTTAAAAACATCAGAGAGATTCTGGTACTTTTAAAGAGACTTAAAGCAAATGCCAGCGTAATATGTGAATGACCTTGGAGATCGTTTTATGTGGATTCATTAATTTTCACTGCCAGTCTTCTAGTCTCAGGAACTCTAGGATTAAAGATGGTTTTAACATTTTAGGGGCCTTTCAAAAAACCAAGATTGTATACAATTAATTACCTGCCTAATGAATCCTGAACTAATCAAGCATTTACTTAAAACTGAACACAGAAGATGCTTTCTTTTAAGGCTTGCTGTCTCCGTAACTGTGAATAAAACAAACGAGGTAATGTCCTGCAATTAGAAGAACATTTTTTTTTTTAAAGCAACTCTTTATTATGCTGATCGTCAAATAAATGCAGACACCCTAAACCCCTGAGAAGATGAAGCTGAATAACAGAATGATGGAGTAGTAAACAATGGCAGCTTTTCTAGTCACATCAGCATTTCATTAGCTTCACAGCAGAATGCAGATGGAAGTTTCTGTTCTCGTTGTATGGGGGTTTGTGAAATGATTCAGGTGTTGCTACAGAGGTGAGCAATATCACGGATATACCTATGAACTCCTGGGTACTGATCCACTGTAGCAGATATGGCAGAGTTTCCAAAGATGATTATTTTAAATTACCATTGCAGAAATTAAATTCAAGAGGATTTATTTTGTCTGTGGGGACCTTGAATTATGCTCTTGGCATTAATAATTGTAATGGACTATAACCATTTGAAGGAATTGTGGATATTGACATAAGTCTCCAAATTCTATTCTGAAATTATTTTCATTTTTAAATGAACAGACACGATCTTCCTCATTGTATGCGAGATGTATGTTTTCTCTCTTGGGAGTCGGAGGACAAATCTGCCTTGTCCCCCACCCGTCTCCCTCCAAATAAAATTCGTTATTCATACCCAAACAGTGGTGAGTCTATTGGAATTAACCTTGACAAAAATGTTTTCCTTACCTTTCCAATGAATAGCATGGGTAAGACGGAGTCCCATCTCCTGAATGGAGCCAGAAAAGACAGCATTAGATGGTGAACTTTTTTCCTTTACTCTCCAGTCAGTCTGGGATGCAAATCGAGACATTAAAAAGATTATCTCCAGTAACTGCTGGCCCAGGAAACCTGAGCTGTACTGAGGTTCCTGCTTCCCTTCTTCCCCCTCACCCCCTTATATTCCAAAGTAAATGACTTTCTCAGGAAGATAAGCAGTCAGATTCCCCCACCCCACCCCTTCCCTGGGAAATGAATGTCTCTCTTGTCAGTTTTTATTTCCATATTTCACAGAACCTGTTTGTTTGAGAAGTGCCTTGTGTTTGCTAAAGATTGATCAAGAGCACTGGAGGAGCTGATCAGTGGCCTTTCTCTTTCTGGCTTTTGTTTTTTTTTTCTTTTCTTTTCTTTTCTTTCTTTCTTTCTTTCTTTCCTTAAAGCTAAGGTGTGCCAGAGGTGATGCACTGATGCTGAGGAGGCATCAACAGCTATGGGACTGTAATCCTCCCAAATGTAAGCACTGGCAGTGTCTACAGAGAGAGATCGTGAGACGCTGAAGCAGAGTTTAGCTGCTGTTAAGCAGGTCTTCTGCTCGCTAAGGCTCAGATTGCAGTCTTCCCTAATCACAAAACATGAACCAGTCCCGATGGATTGAATGGAGGACTCTGAATATGAGCGGTAGTGGTATGAACATATCTGAGCATCTCTCCTGCCCTCTTGGATTTGGTCACTACAATGCAGTTGACATCTGTATCCTTGAGACAGTTGTTATTGTCTTGCTAACGTTTTTAATTATTGCGGGTAACTTAACTGTGATATTTGTTTTTCACTGTGCTCCACTTCTGCATCATTACACCACCAGCTATTTTATTCAGACCATGGCCTATGCTGACCTTTTTGTTGGAGTTAGCTGCTTGGTTCCTACTTTGTCACTGCTCCACTACTCGACAGGTGTCCACGAGTCCTTGACTTGCCAAGTTTTTGGATATATCATCTCTGTGCTAAAAAGCGTATCTATGGCATGTCTTGCTTGCATCAGCGTGGATCGCTATCTCGCTATAACAAAGCCTCTCTCCTATAATCAGCTGGTCACACCTTGTCGCTTGAGAATCTGCATCATTTTGATCTGGATATACTCTTGTCTGATCTTCTTGCCTTCCTTTTTTGGTTGGGGAAAACCTGGTTACCATGGAGATATTTTTGAATGGTGTGCTACCTCCTGGCTAACTAATGCCTATTTTACTGGCTTTATCGTGTGCTTACTATACGCTCCCGCTGCCTTTGTCATATGTTTCACCTATTTCCACATCTTTAAAATTTGCCGGCAGCACACCAAAGAGATAAACGATCGGAGAGCTCGATTTCCTAGCCACGAAGTGGATGCTGCTGGGGAGACTGGGCACAGCCCCGATCGCCGCTATGCCATGGTTTTGTTTCGGATAACCAGTGTGTTCTACGTGCTGTGGCTCCCTTATATCATATACTTTCTGCTGGAGAGCTCTAGGGTGCTGGAAAACCCAGCACTTTCCTTCTTAACAACATGGCTTGCTATAAGCAATAGTTTCTGCAACTGTGTGATATATAGCCTCTCCAACAGCGTTTTCAGGCTGGGACTGCGGAGACTGTCAGAGACAATATGTTCATCTTGTATGTGTTTAAAAGACAGGGATGTACGGGACCCTAAACCAAGAAAACGGGCTAATTCCTGCTCCATTTAAAGAAAAGCGGCGCATGTAATCAAACGCGGAGTTTTGATAGTATTTGCTGTATCTGGAAACTTGCCAGAAGAGAAATGTTTACTTGAATAGCTTGCTATGATGTTAGAGCGAGTTTAAAAGTGATTGCGGAAAAGGAAGAGGCTGCTATAAGAGGGGTCACTGAACTTGAATATAGCTCTTGTGAAATTGTGAGGAGAGCAATTCAACAGAGACGATGAAGGAAGTCAGAACTAAAAAAATCTTCCAAAGGGCATGAAATAACTACCACATCAGAGGAGGTTCCTCATAAAGTAAATAAGTTAGTTACTACCTTATCTTTTCCCCCTTGTAGAAAAGTTATCTTACTATCTTTGTGTCAGAATATATCGTAGCCTTCTGAATTTAAATATATTTAAGAGGAAGCAATCAACGACACAGTAAGTGGCTGTCCGTAAATTATATACCTGAGGACTATAGTAGATATTGCAGATTAATAATCAACTCTATCTCTGCTCGCATCTTGTACAATTTTCAGTTGTACGAACAATCCACAGTGCAGCGAACCTACGCTGGGTGTGACACTTTTGGATAAAATGGCACATCTTGGTACAACTTTCACAGAAGCTCTCCCTCTCATTTCCCCTTTTTTTCCATGCTGTACGTCCCTAGATTCCATGGCATCCAAGTGGTTGAGTTTGAGGGCACCTACGAGGTAAACCGAGTTTCAAACCATTCTTCCAGCAGAAAGCAATAGCCCTTCCTGGCTGGCTGAGTTAACAACTGCAGCTGCCCATGGACAATGACTTCTTCAATCCTTCATTCTCTTGACCCTGTTAAATTAGCGCACAGTATCGATGTAGTGTCCTTTAGGGTGTACTAATGCTTTTCCTTTATTGGCTACACAGATAATCCTAATGCAGATATGATAATCGCACACAGCAGTGTGCATCACTGCTTAGAAAATTAAAACTAACGAACCCTTTTCTTTGGGAAGTCTAAATAGCTTACTGTTGTAGCTGTCAGTCTGTTGTGTGAACCTAGCTTGCACATGCTGTATTTTTTTTAGACAAAACGTAAATTATGGTCTGTGCCTAATGTTTTCATAGCACATGGAACAAGTCAATGCTACAGGATTAAAAAAATTACACTTGCTTTAAGAGAAATACTTCCGTGCAGTTCTTGAATAGCTGTTTGTCCGAGAAGTGTTTTTGGAGAAGGTGAACAAGGCGGTTTAGTATTAAATACAAGCAAAGAGTTTCAGTATTTCCTTTTGTACTGAACTGATTTTCAGGTCCACTGATGAAACCTTTTTTTATTTTGCAAGGGCACACATTAGGTTTGTGTAATAAATTGCCAGGGGTTCAGATGCATGCCAATCAATAAAATATTTAAATTATTATTTTTGAACCAAATGTAATTTTCTTAGATGGTTATTGGCTTTTAAAAAAGGCCCGATTATTGATTATTCGTGCCTTTTAACACTGCACTACTATTCCTTCTTTCACCAAAATGCATATGTAAAGATCGTGCCTATTACTTTTTGTAACGGAAGCTAACCACGCTTGCACACTTGTGGTTTGACTCTAGAGCTCCCTTAATTATGTATTCTTTGTTCTGTTGAGGTGGTTCTGAACCCCTGTACGTTTTTTAAAACTGTAAGAAAGTTGAAACAATGGAATAAAGTAGTATTATGTATATCAAAACCAGCCTTGGCGTTAGTTCCCTGATGTTACGCTCTGTTCTCTGTGAAAGTTCTTTTGGGTTAGGACTCAAGAGTGAACGATTTAAAATCCAAATCTCAAAGCTGCTTAATTGCCGTCTTAAACGTTCATATAGCGAGTTTCTAGCGTTGCGCAATCTTTAAAGCAGATTGAAATATGACTTGAAACATTCCTCTAGCTAAGCTGAGCTGGTGCTCACAATTAGCCCTGGTAGATGTTACGGAAAAATGAGTAGTGTTCTTTGCACGTATCTCGTAATGCTCCGTCTCTACTGGAATGTGTCTGCTGCCTTCTTTTGAAAAGTTGCTCTTTATTTTGGAAGGCTCTTTTTGGCTGACTACTGCTCTATAACATTGTGTAACCCCGTCTCTTCTTGGATCCATGCAGTTTTGTCATTATTTTGTCATTGTTTCATGCTTAGTAGGTCCTCAGCGTGCAAGACTTGGACAAGGAGCAATGAAATAACCTCGATTCTCACAACTCATGGGGCTGGTTTTATACCAGTAAAGTAGTTTTATATCTGTGCTCCAGAGCTGGCCGCTTACCGCTTCTGGCTTTCATTGGCGTTCCTGGTAACAAGTTGCTATGGGACCTCCTGAAATTCAAGAAGAGTTCTAGAAAATGGTTGAAGTTGAACTAACCTTGTATTAAACACTGCCTGGAGGCAGTAGATGCGTTGTTAGCATGGTACTGTAACTACAAATATGTAGAAATACACAAGCTAACTCGTTTGTATCAGTAGTGCCTTAGTTGAACCCTGCTTGTGTAACCTCAGCAAATGCAGTCGATGTTCAGGAACTTGAAGCTTTATTGCCTGCAAACGGTAGGTCAGAAAGAGCGAGCTTCACTTCAGGGGCTGCAGCACAAGGTTTGCTCCCCAGCCCACTGGCTTCTTGCCCTAAAGGGCAGAGTTAGCAATACATTTCTCTCTACAATTGTCTTGAGCTTGGGGAGTTGTCAGGTGGAACTGAAGATTTCCTTTTTTCTCAGGCTTGTCGTTGGAGAGAGAGAATATAGTAGACATCCAGCAGTACCCTGCAAACAAATCGTAGGTTCCTAGGTTCTTCGTGCCACCCCTCCCCTTTTTTTTTTTTCTGTTTCTTAAACATTGGCTTAACATTGTTGGTGCAAGAACGCTGATTTGCTTCTCTGGACCCTGAATTTCAGTTGCTGTAAAATCACATTTCAACCTGTTCTCTGTAAACCCGAGTCTCCTGCTCTCCTGGAATCTGTCAAATTAAACAGCCTCAGCGGAGTTGAATACTGCATTTCTTCTGGCTGTTTCCCGGATGACAGGATTTGACCTGGTGGTCAGTCACATGAATTTTTAATTTTAGTAAGTCTGTTTCATTTTTTGAAAGTGTTTTCTAAACTCATGGTTTAAAATTTTATTAGAGGGAGGTTTGTTATTGTTTTACTAATGCTGTCTGAGGATTCCAGCTGGTGCTAAATTCTCTTCTAAAATTATAAGGCTGGACGTTTTAATGGATTAAAAAAGTCCAATAGAAATTCCAGTTACCCAATCTGTCACTTTTGATTTTCATTCTGTCATTATATAAAGTCTCATGGTCTTGTATGAAAATCTGGTTAAAGAAAGAGACTTTGGAAGCTGGCATCTGGAGTACATATCCCGCTTTCATGTGCCTAAAGATCTTTATGATTTATGAAATACCTGGTAAATAGGTAACCAGACACTAACTAGAGAAATCAACATGAAAAAATCATTGTTGATAATACAGGTAATAATAAAGTCTCTCAATATACAGATACATCAGGGGAGTTGCTGAAACTTTAGGTTCCTTTCACAAAAAAAAAGAAGGTAGTAGCTATGAGAAGAAAACATATGTAAAATATTAAATTAAAAGGTTAAAGTAAAGAGATATGCCTAATAGGTAAGCAAAGCAAAAAAAAAAAGAAATATATATATAAGGCTCCTTTGTGCAGGTGTGGATTAATATTGTGCCATTACATTTCCCTTGAATACTTTTGCTTGTGGTATAACAGAGGCTATGTCAAGGTCGATTACCTTACAATTTTTGGAACCTCATGTCTTCAGCCTAAGGAAAAGTCAAAAAATTGTGTAATGGCAGCAAAAGCACTACCAGAAAAGTAATTTTTTCTTCAGGAATAGCTAAGTGAATTTCTCCTTAAAATACTATTCTTTAAAGGGCAAGAAAACTGGAGTAATGAAAAGCACAGTGCTGTCTTTCAAAAGTTTCTGTGTTGTCTTGTAGTAAGATTTTTTTTTCCCACCGTTTCTGCTTAAGAATCCATTTTGTAGTTGGGCTTGCTAAAGCATGAGGTATCACACTAGGTTTATTTTTGAGCAGAATCTTTGTGCTTCCTCTGCTGAGAAGTTTGGAGCGTTTTGCTTTATTGAACCACCTTTCATAGGTACAGTGTATGAAGACCTTTTAAAAATAGCATTTGTGTTGTTTTTATGATTATTTTTATTTTATTAGTGCTTGACAACTGAATATACATAAGCATACTTAGTTTTCACACTCAGCAAAACTAATAAAATGGCCTTTTTGGGGTAAAGGAATATTAGAAATTGGCTATTGAGAAAGGTAAAGCAATGTAATGATTAGTTTATTTCCTTAGCTATTTCATCTTGCATATGAAAAATTAAATTTAACTATAAACAAAAGGTTTGCAACGGGATAGCAAGTTGATGGGAAATGCATCAAATTTAATACTGTCTCACAGTTGGTTCTCAACATGAAACTAGCTAATCCTTCTGTATTACAGTTGTAGCCAAACAAATAAATGCATCGATTCTTTTTTATTTTTTTTCCTGTTAATGTTGGTGTATGAATGCTAAGGATCCGTATCTCTCGTAGTGGGGTTGCACCTTCCACAGATCTCAGACTTGGTTGCAGCGTGCCCAGCAACACGATGGTCCTGGAGCTGCCTTTGCCAAGGAGCAGTGCCAGAGGTTCACCGGGCCGACGGTGCCGTGGAGGAAGAATGTCAGGGAAGGTGGCAGTGGCCTCCCCAGCCATCCTCCAGCATCAGCTCCTTTGCAGATCTTTCCATTTTAGTGTCTCTGTCACCAAAAGGACAAATTTAAGCCTTTGACTTCACCCCCTGCCCCCTGTTACCTCTTTCTCTCTTTAGGCTGTTTTATGGATGGAGTGGTGCATCATTCTACTAAAGAGCTGCATTAGATTTATTTTGTTGGGGTTTTTTGGTTGACATATTTTATGTGTGTCATTTGAATGGCGAAAACAAACATTACTTTGTTAACTAGAGGCCAATTAATTTTTAGGCCTTTCCAGAAACGGAAGCATCACTGAG